AGCCCCAGGCCCGGGCAGGAGCACAGTGTGGACTGCCATGCTGCAAGTTCTGTGTGCTTGGGTGCCAGCCTGCAAACCACAGAGAGGCCAAGTGCTGCCTGGCCCATCTGGAGTCACAGAGATTTAAACTTTTCCTGTGTTAATCAGGTTGAAACTCTTTGTGTCTTTGGCCTTGCACTGTGAAAGGTGTGCCTGGAATGACCTGTTCTCACATTCTCACATGCTGCTTGCTGGGTCCACATCCGGTGTGTCCTTTAAATTGTCCTCAGCTTTGGTTGTGCCTATCTCATGTCCTTTTGTGAAATGAGAGGACACTAGAAGGTTGTCCCCTTAGAGTGGAACGTTACAGTGGGGGCGCACCTTGGTCCCTCTTGCTGCCAGTTAGAGGCTGTGCTAGCCGGGGCTTTGAGACTTTAATAATTCTGTGTTTGTTTCCACTTTCTTTCAGAACAGCTCATTAATTCCAGAAAAAGGATGGAAATCATGAAAAATGAATGTTGAGAAACGGAGTCAAGAACAATTCACAATATGTAAAGGAGAATGCAAAACCTCTTTTTTATTTAAAAACAAACAAGTTGAGATTGTGGTTCTACTTTTCCTTGTTGTTTTTCAGTTTCTGCAGATACCTGTGAGCCCACTTTCTTTGGCATGGTGTCCTAGCAGGCTGCTGTGAATATTCCTCACTTCCCAGCCTTTGAAAGCTGAAATCTGTAGCTAACTGTGTTGGAATAAAGAGAATGACAGTGGGAACAGAGACCTACTTATTCCAGGATGTGTACACTGCTGGGGTCCTTGGGAACCGCAAGGATGACGCACAAGTTCTCGAAGTGTCCCATAATTTTTTTTTTTTTTAGATAAACAAAAATGAAACCAGAGCTTATGGGTCTGGGGGGACCTGTTGACACAGGATGTTTCTCTAGAACTTTGTGCCTTGGGTACTTTTCTCCTTCTCTAAGATTGTCAGCCGTCTGCATAGGAGCCTTGTTGGTATCCTGTCCCCCATCCCCCCCCCCACACACACCTTTTATTTTTCTTTAAGCTTGAGAGACAGAGATCTGCCACCAGTTCATTCTTTAGATGCCTGTGGTAGCCAAGTCTGGGCCAAGACATAAGCCAGGGCCTATGTTGCAATCCCTTGCCTCTTTGTTAGCAGGAAACTGGAGTTAGGAACTGGGGTTGTTGAACCTGATACTCTAGGAGATCCTAGAACTTGACGCTAGTTTTCTTTGTTTCTTTATTTTGTGGGCCAAGTAGAACATTGTACAGGCTAATCCTCTGCCTGCTAGTGCCGAACATCTCACGGGTGCCAGTTTGTGTCTGGCTGCTCCACTTCCCATCCAGCTTGCTGCTTGCGGCCTGGGAAAGTCACAGAAGATGCCTCAAGCCCTTGGGCCCCTGTACCCACATGAGAGAACCTGGCTCCCAGCTTTGGAGCAGCTCAGCTCCGGCCATTGTGGTCATTTGGGGAGTGAATCAGCAGACCTGTCTCTGTCTGTAAAATCTACCTTTCAAATAAAAATAAATAAGGGCCAGCATGATGATTCGGTAGGCTGATTTTCTGCCTTGTAGCGCCAACATCCCAAATGGGTGCTGGTTCACGTCCTAGCTGTTCCACTTCTGATCCAGCTCACTGCTTATGGCCTAAGAAGGCAGTAGAAGGTGGCCTTGGTTCTTGGGTCCCTGCGCACACATTGGAGTCCTGGAAGAAGCTCTGGACATTGCAGCCATTTGGGGAGTGAGTCAGTGGATTGAAGATCTCTCTGTATCTCTGTCTCTCCTTCTCCCTGTAAATCTGCCTTTTAAATAAAATAAGTAAAAAAAAAAATGTAGTAAGCAAGGCACAGCACTGTAGCCGGGATCCCATATGGGTCCTGGTTCTAATGATTCTAATCCTGGCTGCTCCATTTTCCATCCAGCTCCCTGCTTGTGGTCCGGGAAAGCAATAGAGAACAGCCCAGAGCCTTGGATGCTGCACCCACATGGGAGACCCATAAGAAGGTCCTGGCTCCTGGCTTCAGATCACTTCAGCTCCAGCCATTGTGGCTACTTAGGGAGTGAGCCAGTGAATGGAAGATCTTTTTCTCTCTTTAAATCTGCCTTTCCAATAAAAGAAAAAAAACTTTTCTAAGGTAATAAATAAACAATTTTTTTCACTCCATTTTATTTGAAAAATGGAGAGACAGATCTTCCACTGCTGCTTCAGTGCCTAATGTACCCTTTACAACTGCCAAGCCATCCTGAAGCCAGGAACCTGGATATGGTCCTGTTCTCCCAAGGACCTAAGGACTGGAGCCATTATCTCTTGCCCTGCAAGGTGTGCATTAGCAGGAAGCTGGCATCATTGACTGGAACAGATCCAGGCACTCATGATATGTTGTCCCCAGGCACGTGTTAGTCCCCACATCAAATGCTTGGAAACTTTTCTGGCAGAAACCTGACACACTGTCCTGCAGAGTACAGCTTCTGGCTCCTAGCTTAAGATCAGCTCAGCTCTGGCTGTTGTGATCACTTGGGGAGTGAATCATCTGACAGAAGATCTTTCTGTCTCTCCTCTGTATATCTGATTTTCCAATACAAATAAATAAATAAATAAATAAACTCAGATGGTTACCATTTTTGTTTGTTACTGTCAGGTTGGGCAGGACAGGGTGTTGGCCTGAGGCACAGAGTGAAATGGAGCATCAGGGCCTTATCTCAGGAATGCCTGGAATGCCCAACAGGACCCACCCAGGCCCTGTCTTAGCCCACCCTGAGCCACAGGTCATGTGCAAGCACACCCAGGAGCTGCTGCCTTCTCCCTCCACCACAGCCTCTAAGCCCTCAGTCTAAGCCATTGAAGACCCTCAGTGGCCATTTCCCTCACGCGGTCACCCGGCCTTGTGAAAGTGGTCCTAGGCTGTCTCCCACCAGGGAGTAGTTCAACTCTCTCCCCTGACTAATAAAGCTCTGCTTGAGGTAGGCAATGTCTACCTCCTTTCCACCTCTCCTGCCACCATTCCCCCAGCTCGCCAACCCCCCTCCCCAGTCTGTGTTGGAGTTTTGCTCTGCCCTGGAATGTTCTTCACCCAGACATTCTGCAGGCTAGCACCTCTCCTCCTTCAAGTCTTGACTCCAACGAACCCTTCACATACCTGTGTGCTTCATAGGGTTCCTTGGGGGTGGGAGGGCAATGCTGTGGCACAGTGGGTTAAGGAAGCCCTCATCCCACATACTGGTTGCCCTGCTTCTTACCGAGCTCTCTAATGTGCCTGGAAAAACAACAGAAGATGGCCCAAGTGCTTGAGCCCCTGCTACTATGTGGGAGTCCTGGAAGAATCTCCTGGCTTCAAGCTTTGACCTGACCTAGCCTTGGCCGTTGCAGCCATTTGAGAATGTAGACTTTCAAATAAGTAAATCTTACAAGCAAAACAAAACAGAAAACAAAAGATGAGAGTGTTCTGAGGTGAGGCGAGCCATGCTAGTCTGAGTGCAGTGGTTGCTGGGTCTGTGAGCCCCTGGGTCTGGCGGGGCCTGGGTTGCCTGGCCCGGTTCCTTGAGCCTGCCTGCAAGAACTGGTACTCCTCGGTGGAAAAGATGGAGCAGTGGCCAGCAGGCCATGATGAATATGGAGTATATGGCAGCCCACTGAAATCTACAGAGGACAACTGGTACCATAGCAGAGGAAGAACAGAGCAAATTAGACAACTACCCCAGCCAAACAATGACAGCAAAAATCTGGTTGAGTGGAGAGTGTAAGTTTGACTATGTCAGCCAATGGACATTGAGAGGGTTTCCTCATTCTTGGATCAGCGAGATTGATAGCACTTTAGGACTATCAGTACCACCCGGGCAGAACCCTAGACGTGTGTGCCACACCAGGACGCTGGGTTGATACTGGGTGGCCGTTCTCCATCCCTACGTACTGGGGTGAGGCTTCACCACTTATCTCCTCCCTCCCCCCAGATACAGGAAGAAGGAACAGAAAATTTGAAATAATGATCACACTTTTCCTAACCCTCAATCTTTCCCATCCTGATCAACTATGTAAACATAGTCGAAAATAAAAATAAATTTAAAAAAGAAAGGTGAGAGTGTTTGTCCAAAGAAAACTTTCAAATCCATAATTTTTATAACATTCATTTTTAAAAATACTTGTTTTTGAGAGGCACAGAGACAGCTCCCGTCCACTGACTCATTCCACAATTGCCAATGATGATGGGCTGAGGCTGAAACTGAGAGCCAGGATCTCAAACCACCTCTCCCACATGAGCCCAGAGTCTGTTAGCAGGAATGCTGGCATCAGGAGCCGGAGCTGGGAACTGAACCAGATCCTTTGAGGTAGGATACAGGCAACTTACCTGCTTGGCTAAATGTCTGTCCCTTATATTTTTAATGAATTTTTTGAAGATCCCTCATAGGCAATAATTTCAAGCATTTTGTGCAGTGACTGTTTCCTTTTCATTCCATTTTCTACAAACTTTTTGAAGACCTTCTATATTATTAGTGATAGAAATAATACCCTTTGGCACTCATCATCCCCTTACAATTTTTTTTTTTCCTTTGCACTTGCTACCACCTAGCATATCCCAGTTTCCTTGTCTTGGTTATTCTCCTCCCCATTAAGTTAAGCCCTATGAGGTACAGCAGTCTCCCTAGAGCCTAGAACAGTTCCTGGAACCTGAACAATTTTTCCATTACTGCTTATTGAGTGAATAAATGGTACCGCTCACAGATGAGCAGGTGTTGGGCCCAGGACAGATAGATGAGTAGGACTAAAATGGGACCGGCTGGGTTGGAAGCCAGTTCTCATTTGGCAGCTGTGACTGGGGGCAGTTAGGTGAACTTTGCTGTGCCTGTGAAATGAGGAGAGTCCCAGCAGCCGCCAGGGGGCAGTGTGAGGGGTTCTGAACGTCCGTGCGCCTGCCCGGCGCTGTGTCCTCGGTCACTGTTGCTGTTATCACTATCCCGTTATAATACCCGCTTGGAGAAAAAATTAGAAAATGGAAGCGCAGATCAGGGAAGGGAAATTTTATTTGCATTTATCAAAGAAAAAGGAAATTAGACATGAAACAGGATGAAGTGGATCCAGTTGTGTTTGGGCTGCAGGTGGCCTGAGCCTTGGGAGGAAGGGCGTGTTCATCCTTGGGAATTCCTGCTGCAGAAAGAAAGAGAAAGCTCAGCCTAGGGGAGGGAGGAAGTGAGGGTGAGCTCAGGGGAGTGAGGCACCCGGAGGGTGGGGCGGAGGTGGTGCTCCTGTAGCAGGGGCTGGCTGCTGGATGCCCAAGAGCAGCATGGGTAGGGGGACAGATGGGCACAGGTGCCAGCCGTGCACATCTCAGCCTTGGCCCCAGGCTATCCCCTGCTCCCACGGGTCACTTCCTCTCCCAGGGGCTGTCACTCATCCCAGCCCCACACCCTGTCCCAAGTGCTACTGTTGCAGTCCTGTGTGCCTCAGGGCACTAAGAACTCTAGAAGAAGGGAGGGTCACTGTTGTCTTGCCCCTTGCTAGAGCCCGGGTCTGGACAATAGCCAAAACACTGGTTTCTGCAGAGAAGGGAGGGACTCATGTTTCCTTACAGGGCAGCCCTCCCCTCGACACCCTGGGACTTGAGGCCTTGAGCAATGACTCAACTCCTGGGGAGTGTGCCTCCCGCTTCCAGCAGCTCTGGAAAGGAACACCTCAGAGACCCCAACACACATGCAGGGACAGGACCTACCTGTGCTTCTGCAGCAGGGTCAACAGGCGGTTGTTTGGTGTCGTCAGCTTCTGGTCAGTGCACACATTGTCCCCCTTGTGCCCGAGCTGTGCCTTCTCTGCTTGCTCCCGATTTTCATTTCTGATGGGTTAGGAAAGATGAATGGGTGAGTTTGCTAAGTGGGCAAGTAGAGAGACAGGGGTGGGTCTTTGTCTATTCTAAGAGGAGGGCATTTCCAACATGTCACAGAATTCAAAAATACATTTAATTTCTTTTTTTTTTTTGGTGCAAAAAATGTTTTTCAAATCCATATACACATGACATCTTCAAAAATTTCATAAAAAAATGTGTATTGTGAAAAAACTAAAGAACTATGAATGAAATTCCATGTTTTTGCATCAAAATAAACTTATCCTAAAATGTTTGGAATAATTTATTTGACAGAGAAAGAGATCACTCCAATCGTTCATTTCCAGAACCAGGCCATGCTGGCGCCAGGAGCCATCCATCCAGGTCTCCCACCTGAGCATCAGAAACCCAGATATGTGTCCCAGTTGGTGTGTTAATGACTATGCCAAACACCTTTCCTCAAATTGATCTTAAAAAAAAAAAAACTATTTTTATTGGAAAGGCAGATACACAGAGAGAAAAAAAGGAAGAGAGAAAGGTCTTCCGTCCACTGGCTCACTCCCCAAGAGGCCACAATAGCCAGAGCTGAGCCAATCAGGAGCCAGGAGCCAGGAGCCTCCTCTGGGTCTCTCATGGGGGAGCAGGGTCCCAATTCCTTCTCAGGTCCTCAACTGCTTTCCCAAGCCACAAGCAGGGAGCTGGATGAGAAGTGGAGCAACTGGGACATGAACCAGCACCCATATGGGATCCCAGCACATGTAAAACTTTAGCCAGTAGGCTATGGCACCGGGCTCCTAGATTTATCTTTTAATTGCATTTTTTTCCCATAATCTTTTTCAAGTGTCTTTGTGTTTCATGTGTCTCTTCTACTAGCTGAATTAGACTGTGACAGGAAAGCAGTATACAGGGCACTTTCAAAAGTTCATAGAAAATGGAATTAAAAGACAAGTTTAAGAGGCTGGCAGTTTGCTCAACTAGCTCTGTCTCCAAGTGCAGGCCTCCAATTTGGGCTCATATCCCAGCAGTTCCATTTGCCATCCAGCTCCCTGCCTGTGGCCTGGGAAAGCAATAGATGGCTCAAAGCCCTGGGACTCTGTATCCACATGGGAGATCCAGAAGAAGCTCCTGGCTTCAGATTGGCTCAGTTCCAGCCATTGCAGCTGCTTGGGGAGTGAATCAGCAGACAGAAGATCTTTCTCTCTGTTCCTTTTTTTCTCTGTGAATCTGCTTTCCAGTGAAAATAAATAACCAAAAAAAATAAATAAATAAAATAAAAGACAGGTTTAGAGCCGGCATGGTTGTACAGCAAGCTAAGCCTCAGCCTGTGACACTGGCATCCCTTAAGGGCTCTGGATCAAGTTCCAGCTGTGCTATGTCTGATCCAGCTCCCTGATGATGTCCTGGCAAAGCAGAGAGGGCTGGTCCAAGTCCTGGGACCCTGCATCAAGTGGGAGACCCAAAGGAAGCCTCTGGCTCCTGGCTTCAGACTGGTCAGCTTTGGGCCAGTGCAGCCATGTGGGGAGTGAACCACAGGATGGAAGATCTCTCTGTCTCTCCCTCTATGTATTTTTGCCTTCCCAGTAAAAATATAACATCTCTTTTTTTTTAAGAGACAAGTTTATATTGGTGCACAAAATTTTGAAATCCATGCATAATTGGTTTTTTTTTAATCATACATACTTTCCAAAACTTTTTGAAAGCCCTAAAGAGTAGTGAGAAAAATCGGCAAATTTGCATAGGTAACAGACTCTCTGGGACAGATCTGTTCTGTGCCTCCTGATGTCAGGTGCCGAGAAAAGGAGTTTTGTGGATACACAACCTAAATCTAATCGTGAGAGGGCATCCGGCAAATTCATCAAGAGAGGCAGTCTACCCTAGAGTGGATCCCAGATCAGAAACAAAATCGTTCAGGCCCAGCATTGTGGCCCAGTAGGCTAAGCTGCTGCCTGTGACACTGGCATTCTAGCTTGACATTGGTTGGAGGCCCACTTCAGGCCATGCTAATGGCCTGGGAAAGCAGCAGAAGCTGGCCCAAGTGCTTTGGGCCCCTGCCACCCACATAGGAGCTCCAAATGAAGCTTCTGGCTCCTGTTTGGGCCTGGCCCATCCCTGGCCCTTATGGCCACCTAGGGAGTGAAGCAGAAGATGGAAAATCTTTCTGTCTTTTCCTCTTTCTCTGTAATTCTGAGTTTAAAATAAGTGAATAAATCTTTTATTATATATTTTTTAAAGATTTATTTTATTTTTATTACAAAGTCAGACATACAGAGAGGAGGAGAGACAGAGAGGAAGATCTTCTGTCTGATGATTCACTCCCTAAGTGAGCGCAATGGCCAGAACTACGCCAATCTGAAGCCAGGAGCCAGGAACTTCCTCCAGGTCTCCCATGCGGGTGTAGGTTCCCAAGGCTTTGGGCCATCCTCAGCTGCTTTCCCAGGCCACAGGCAGGGAGCTGGATGGGAAGCGGGGCTGCCAGGATTAGAATTGGCATCCATATGGGATCCTGACGCGTTCAAGGCAAGGACTTTAGCTGCTAGGCCACTGTGCCGGGCCCAGTAAATCTTTTTAACATTTATCTACTTTATGAGAAAAGCCTACTGCGTGGGAGCTTCCACCCTCTGACACATGGGAAGGTGGGAAGAAGCAGCTGGAACCCAGGCTTACCTCTGCTTTTGGCTCATGATGTCCAGGAGCAGCTGGCGGGCAGACAGTTGGCGCAACAGCTTTCGGTAGTTGTTCGTGAAGATGGCATCTGAGGAGCGCTGTGTCCTGCGGGGAAGGGGTCAGAAGTCAAAGACTGGGAGAGGCGGGAGGGCCCAGAAAGAAGCTGGCGGTGCTGCGCTCACGTGTCTCTGCAGGATCCTTCTGTTGTTTTGGGTCCTCTTCACCCCCAGAAAAGCTCAGACCCTAGAGTTCTGTGTCCCGCGCCCACCCAGAGGGAGGCGGCCGATGCTCTTAAAAGGAGTCATGGCCCAGCTGCTGGCTCCACCCCACTCCCACCCCACAGCAGGCATAGCTTGAGGGGGCTCACCTGCTGGCCTCAGACGGGGACGGGGAGCAGTGGGAGCAGCTGCTGCTGAGTGAGAGGAGCGCGAGGAGCAGCACCCAGCGTGGCATGGTTCACTTTGGGACGGCACCTGCCAAGGAACAGGAGAGAGTCAGGTGCAGCCACGGCCGCCGTCACAGTCACTGGAATGCTTGGTCCGACAAGCCTCACTCTCCGAGGTAGGAAAAGAGGAACTAGGTTCCAGTCCCGCCCCTGCCAGTCACCAGCGCTGACTTCATTTTCTCCATCTGTAAAATGGGTGTTATGTAATGACCCTGTTGGCCTGAGACGGCTTAAACAGGAGGCGGATGACAGCAGAGGAATGGCCCTTGCAGGCATTCCAGGTTAAGTCAGGCTTCTGTGAGGGCTGGAGGGCTGTGGGAGGAGGAGACAGATTCCCTCGGGGTCCTTCTGGAAGCCACTCTCTATCACAAGTGTAAATTTAGAGCCTAATCCTGTAGTCCCTTGATGACCTGAAACGGAGATGATCCCAACCCCTTCTACTCCAGGTCTGTGGGATGATGGGGCGAGAAGAGGCACCTGAAGGGATTCTCTAGCACCCAGCAGCCTGGTGGTCTCAGTCCAGCTGCTGCAGGGTCAGACCCATCCTGTTCTTACCTCTGTGGAGCCGGAAGGAGAGAGTCCTTAAGTCTGGCTGCAGACACTAAACGTAATTAGAACCTGTCTACACTGCACACTGTAACTAGGAGGGGGAGCAGCAGGGGAAGGGACTACCCAGGCCAGGGAATCCTCTGACCTTCTTGGAATGGGCACTTTCCTGGGCGTCCCTGTCTCAGCAGGACATCGAATCCATCTGCTGGGGACAAAGAGCCTATCAGAGGCCCAGGCAGTCCCAAAGTGGGGCGCACACCACCCCCTTTGCCGCACTCCCTTGCTGTGGACCTACCTCCTGTCTTCACGTTCACACACGTAGACCCAGCACCACTGGAATGCACCTGGTTCTCAGGATATCACCTCCTTCCTACAGACCCTGTGGTCTTTCCCAGCCCCGGGATGCCACCCACACCGCTCGCTGTGGCCTGAGACCACTTCCTGGCTTCCAGGCAGTTCTACATGCCTCAGTGGCTAGCCCCTCCCTTGTGATCTCTGCCTGTACCTCTTACCAGCCAACATGCCCCCCAGGGCAAGTACCTGCTGCCTGTGACAAGGAGCTCAGACCGCTTACTGGTCTGTCTTCTTTCCAGAAAGTTTTTATCATAAAAAAATTTTCCCCACTTTATCAAGCCCAAACCCCTTTTCCACTGCAATACTAGTTAAAAACCCTGCTTTTTCTTTCAGCCCTACCTGCCGGTACCTCGAGTTCCTGCATCTGCACCCCCAGACTGAGCTCTGCAGGTGTGTTTTGCTCCCGGCTTTCCAGTCCCTGGCTCCCCCTATCCCAGCCTGCCAAGGTTGCCCCTCCCACACAGGCTGGTGGGGTGGAGGGCAGGGAGGGTCCTTCACACTGTCCCTGCCTTTTCTGTCTCCCACCTGCAGTCTGGCTTTCTCGACCCCTGAACAATGTGGACAAATCCAAGGCTCATGACCTCACTCCCCTGTGTGATGCCCTTGGCTTTGCACTGTCCCCAGATGAAATCCAGACATCTGATCTCTGCCTTATGACCCTCCAGCCCACCCTCACTACCTTCTGCAGAGCGGAGAGCCTGTTCTCCCTGGCCCCCATCAAATCCGTCTCAGAGCAGGCTCTGTGCCCCACCTCCTGTTGCTACAGCCGTCTCCCAGATATGAAATGCTATTCACAGCTACTTCAGAATCCATCAGCTGCATGTGTGGAATTTGGATGGAAAAACATGGAAAGTCTCTGGGGAACAGAGAATGGGGACAAACAGGAACACCTGCTTTATCAGCACCGCCCTTTGCACACGCGGTGGCTTCAGGGAGTTCAAAACAACCTTATAAGAGAGTTCAAAACAAGGCCAGCTGCACTGGCTTGGTGGACCTGGAGGCCCAGTCACCATAAACCAATTGTTCCTGTGTGAGTCAAGATGCCACAACAGCTACAGAGCTATGTGAACATCACCTACAACGTTGCAAAATCTCATTGGATAAAGAAATGAAGCAGCCAGAATAAGTGAACCTTTAATGATGTCAGAATAGAGATTGCATGGTCAAGGGCAGACAGCTGTTGACGTATATACATTGACAATCGAAGGTGCCAAAGTTCACTGAACTGAGTGTGACATGAAGCCCACGCCATCACCCACAACTCTCAGGGGGACTTGGGATCCTTCTTGAGTTGGCAGTTTACTCCGTGGATGTCAGTGAGCTTTCTGCAGGGCTTCCTAATTCCACGGCTAGAGATGGTTGAGGTCATCTGAGTTCAGGATCAGTGCACACCGGATCTACGTCACTAGGCCCACCTTTGGGACACAAAGGCTAACTTCAGCCAGCACAGAAGTCTTGCATCCACCCAAAGTAGCAGGGCTGCTTTTGAAAACCCAGGCGGCAGGAATCCTGGACCTTTCTTATGAATTCTTATAAATATGGAGGGCCTCACAGCATGGGTGTGGCTTAGAACCCCTTTCACCAAGAGCATCTCAAGTTCTGGGGAATGTAAGTTAATCAGAGGCACCTTGAACTGTAAAGAAGGACTCCCCAAGTCCTCACAGGTCGCCGGCAGCCCAGGATGAAGACATGAGTACTAGAGGGCCAGTCAAGCAAGGGTTAGGGCACAGGAGAAGAGGAAGGCTCCAAAGATGGATACTTGGGTTTGAAAAAAACCTAAAGGCAGGACCTGCTGCACACAGTAAAAAGCAGACGTTGTCCATTTCCAGGCAATTATGTTAAAATTGGCTCTGGGTGATTGACACCGGGGTAGGTTTGGTTCCTCTCCCCATGGAAACTCCAGCCAGCTCCGTCTCACCCCCAGCAAACTGCCACCCCTTCCCTGGCCCCGCCAGCCGGAAGGGGCACTGAGCCCTCCCTCAGCTGCCGCAGGTCTGCCCGTCACTTGTCCCAGTACCATGTATCCAAGACAATACCAAGATGGCTCCAGCCCTGGCCACCCTGCTCCTTATTCTGGGAGAGTTATGATTTGGCGCTGGGAGAAGTCCCCTGTACTCACCGCTATGCGCAAAGAGGATGGCGAGGCGCCTCTCGGACTTGGGGTCTCCCTGTGGAGGAACAAGGGCCAGCACCCTCACGCCAGCCGGGCCAGCACCCTCACGCCAGCTAGTCCAGCCCCGGCCCCTGGGACTGCCGCCTCTCACCTCGGATGTGGCGGATCTCCCTGTGTTGTGAGGCGCTGCTCCGCTCTTGTGGTCCTGGGGCGGCTGCTCTGGTCGCCACCGGGTGGTGTTTTCCCGTCATTTATGGCTTTATTTTCCTAAGCATCGTCAGCGTCAGTCAATTACCCACAAGTCCACTAGAGCACCATTTTTAGCATCACACTGCCAAGTCATCCTTGGCTGGGGGGGAAAGAGCACTCGGTCCTCGCTTGCACGTGGAGACTCCAGAGGGAGTGAGGAGCTACCGTGGTGCCGAGCTATACTGCCATGCCCAGGGGTGCAGAGTCCAGCGCTGCCCCACTCATCATGGTGGGCAGGGCTCAGGCAGCGAAGTGCCAAGTGTCTTCTTCGGCGCCCTGGGATAACTGTGCCTTGTCAATTTGGTCTCGTCCATAGACAGCTTCCTTTCCGTAGAGGCAATGCTGCCGATACACGTTCCCCTTTCCACAGTGAGGGAGATAATTCGCCTTGTCCTCCAGTAAGCAGAAAATCTATGGATTTACACCTGCTGCGGCCACTCCCCATCTCACAACAGCCAGCCCGGGAGCATCCTTTGCCATGTTCCAAGGCAGTCTGGATCTCAGCTGCCTTGGCAAAGTGGGAAGAGAGAGGAAAAGATGGAAGGCCTGGGTGCAAGGGGTTGCATTTCCAGATCTCAGCTCTAGCCTCCAGGCAAAGAGTGCCTGGGGTGGGGGGTGGCCTCTGTGGTCCTTAGTGGATCCCACTCCCTACGCACCTGCAACTTTCAAAAGTTGTGAAAAGGGGCATAACTCTGCCTCTGGAAAACCTTGTCAGAATTACAGTCTCTGCTACAGATCTTTTATAACTGGGGCTGCTTTGGTTGAAGAGGGGAGAATGGCACCCCCTGGGCCTGTGCCTGGTGCCCTGTGGGTCACTGTTAGAAGTAGTGGTTTCTGGGGCCCCTCTCACAGAGTGTAACTGAGTGTAACTCTGTGAGCAGAGTGTAACTCTGCTGCCTCATCTGTACTCAAGCACGTTCTTGGCAGTGAGCAACCTGAACATCCGTGATGTGCACAAGGCCAGAGAGACAGGTCACTTTGAGGTCCTCCTGGACACTGTGTGATCAGGTGGGGCCAAATCCCCAAGGATTAAGAGTGAACTGAGGGGGCCCGGCGCGGTGGTCTAGCGGCTAAAAGTCCTCGCCTTGAACATGCCGGGATGCTATATGGGCGCTGGTTCTAATCCCAGCTGTTCCACTTTCCATCCAGCTCCCTGCTTGTGGCCTGGGAAAGCAGTCAAGATCTTCCTCTCTGTCTCTCCTCCTCTCTGTATATCTGACTTTGTAATAAAAATAAATAAATCTCAAAAAAAAAAAAAAAGAATGAAGTCCTTGCTTTGCATGTGCCAGGATCTCGTATGGGCATCAGTTTTAATCCTGGCAGCCCTGCTTCCCATCCAGCTCCCTGCTTGTGGCCTGGGAAAGCAGTCAAGGATGGCCCATGTCTTAGGACTGTATAACTGCGTAGGAGACCCAGAGGAGGCTCCTAGTTCTTGGCTTCAGATAGGCTTAGTTCCAGCCATTGCAGCCACTTGGAGAGTGAATCAGAGGGTGGAAGATCTGCCTCCTCTCTGCATATCTGATTTTCCAATATCAATAATAAATAAATAAATAAATAAATAAATAAATAAATAAATAAATAAATAAGAAAGCTAGAACATGAACTGGCACCCATATATTACTGTAGCTTTACCTGCTAGGTCACAGTTATGGCCCCTATAATAGATTTTAAAAGATTTATATTTTTATATTGCAAAGTCAGATATAAAGAGAGGAGGAGAGATAAGAGGAAGATCTTTCACCCGAAGATTCACTCCCTAAGTGGCTGCAACAGCCAGAGCTATGCCAATCTGAAGCCAGAGAGCCTCCTCTGGGTCTCCCACATGGGTGCAGGGTCCCAAGGCTTTGGACCGTCCTTGACTGCTTTCCCAGACCACAAGCAGGGAGCTGG